AAGAATCCACAAAGAAGTGAAATTAGATATAGAACTTGGTAGTTATTCTTTAGTTGGTAGAAGTTTGATACTATTTTGGTTATAGTGAAAGTTTGCGTGTTTTGTACTCACTAGTGTATAGTCACGCAAACGCATACGCATACGCAAAATTAATAAGCCCCGATACAAACGCCTTTCAGCTCGAGATCCTCCTTTCCCTCATGCTTGTAGTAGAGCTGAACCCACACAGGTGTTGTAGCCATTGTTGTTGGACCGTCCGAGGCTGGGGTGTCGTCGGTGTTGTAGGCATGCCATCGTAACAATAAGAGAACCTTCTTGGCGTTGTTGTTGGCAATTGTTGTTACGTAGTGAAGCTTCGCGCGAAAAGAGCGCATGCACCTCTGCACCTCTACAGCCCCGATTCAATGTTATGGGCTGACTACACAAATAATGGAGGTTCTATGGATCAAAAGCCTATGCAAATTGATCCACTCCAAGTGAGCTTTAGAGCAATAACACTACTGTAGTAATGCTGCTTCAAAGCCCAACTTGGGGTGCCTTCTAGTTCTAGCACCATAGGCACAGTCACAGGCTAGTCCACATGAGCTGATGTTGTAGGTCACTGAAAGTAGCTCTCGAGTAGCCCACAAGATATCGATTCAAGAACTTCTCGTGTGAAGATCTCACAGTCTATTAGTACCTGTATGGACGAAAGGTGTGCCCGAGATACAGGTAGGGTGTGTCGGGTACGGTACCGGTAGCAAAAAGTAAATCACGAGTGGGTTCGAGATAAAGTAAATTTGTTTTCGTCAGCGCTCCACAGTGAGGGAAATCAGTTCACTGCTTTGGGTTGTACCTGGTACCATCGTTGGACAGTATTATGTCAGGGTTGTCCTATGGCATGGGAAAGCTGCCTCGATCTAATACTACTAGTATACTAGTATCACGAAAGGAGATTAGGTGCCACTGCTGCTCCACTTGAACCTTGCCTTGGTGGGCTTCTTCAGTGATGGCGGAACGCGAAGAAACTGACAAGGCCTTTCAGGAGGACAAAGATACCCCTCCATTGATTCGAGATCCACAGCGCGTCCCGAAATTGTTTCCAAGTGCCACCAAACGGCTGTTTCCTTCTGATTCTTCCTCAACAGCATCGTTCAGACAGAGACACTCGACACAGAATCTTGTTGCTTGTGAGACAGCACGCCAAGGGACAAATAATGTGGGGAAAGATGTCTCCATGGTGGATTCTTTGGGAGACCCCAAGAGATCTGTCGATCAGGCATCATGGGCTCTGGAGAACAAGCAGCTGGGCGAGGAGGATGAGGACTTTGTCTGTGAAGAGAGTACCGGTACGGAGGAATTGGTGCATCAGAAAGCCCTAAGCCAGAGGCGATCAATGCATGACTCAGAAAGGCCCACCAAAAGGCACAAGTTTATGAAATGTTCCCAGGTATCCGGGCAACTTCATCACGAAACAGAAGGTTACCCACTGCAAGAACCCTCGCAACAACCCAATATTAAACGTCGATGCAGTGAAGCGCTGGATGATGGAGAACTCCTTGTTTCAGCGTTTGACGACCAATACGCCACGAAGATTGGAGGGCTGACAAGGAAGAAACAACCACTCCTTCCGTCGCATGACGCTACTGCCGGTATCCCCCGACAGGTCCAAGTCGTAGCGGCCAGACCCCGAGGAAAGAACATTTCGGCAGTGGCCAGGGCCATGGCCCGTTCCTCCCCTGTTCCGGCTTTGCATCCAACCCATCAGGATACCAAAGTGGCTCCTCGCAGTGAAGTGCGCGGAAAGGACTTCTCCGCTATGGCGACATCATTACGACCCAAGTCTCCGCCTCGCGATATTGAAATTGACGCCAATGCCATGTCAACGCCAACGTCGCCAACACGACCACTGCTGCCAATAGTTGTATCGGCGGATTCTGCGAAACGTAATGTCATGAGACAAGGCATCTGGAGCGATGACGATGACGATGACTTTGAACCATTATCCATCCACTTTGAGCCATTCACCCCCCTCCCCACCCTGTTTCCCTACCAAGAGTACCTGGGGTTTAGTGACTATGGTGGGAACAGTCGCAGTGTTGCCAGTGCTTCTACCTTTGCCACCATGTCCTCCTTTCCAACAATTGAAAAGGACATTCCGGTGTTTGATCACTTGGCCGATGATCTCAAACTGGCAGCCAACCAAGCATCCACGGATCACAACCACCACAAAAATTCTAGCAGGCAGAGTGCCTCCGACATGTCCGTGGCGGCACGTAGCAAGAATGATACATCGACGATCCATTCGGGGGAGATGTCGTGTAGCCTCCAATCCAAGGAACGTAGCCTGGCATCCATGAAAGTTGACCTTCCTCTTCCGCCAGAGTCCAACGCAAGGTTGCCCCTTGATCAAAGATGAAAGCCACTACCCCAAAATTAGTTGGATGAATATTATGACCCGACCAGCACGAATAGTTTCTCAGGTGGCGGTCGGTTTGCCAAGTCCATCTGCCAGCAAAAAATCAGAGATGCCTAATCCACAACCAGGGATACCCTACCGGTACTCCTGTACCGGCGCAACAAACAGGGCCCAGCATACTAGTACTGATCTACTAGTAGAGAGCTGGCTAGCAAGGGCCTCTTGGCGGCCATCCGCAGCTCAAAGCCAAAAGAAGGGTCCAGGACCAGACCACAGTACTCCGGTCTCCGGTGCTGAAACATGAAAAGAGCCAACAAAGCTTTAGCATACGGTACTCTGGCCTCTAAACCCCGTAGTCTAAGAAAGCTTTAACAATTATAAATCCGAAACTGAGCCCGACAGTCCAGCCACTAAGTACTACTAGTAGTATGTATATATGTAGCCTTCTTTCTCCGAAAGTCCCAGCAAATCTACCGATACCATACTGGACACTGATGCCTCTTCGGTGAGATGAGGCGCCGTTTGACATTGGATGAGAGCCGCTACATGTATGTAACTTGACAATCAGCAGCGACAACACACCCTTTGCCTGTGACTTTCGAAGAGCTGTTACTAGTAACTAGCTAGCTAGCTAACTTTGCAGCCAGAACGACCAACCAGTCTCCAGAAGGAATGGCATTGATGAGATGACATCTTATATCGAAGAGCAAGTGATTGTCGACGAGCATGGACATTCGCACACTCGACGAAACGGGCACTTACTGTCCATGACGGGGTTGACAGTCCGGTACGATGACGCGGGTCGAGCTCTACCACGGCCAATGGTGAATGTCAAAACTTCTTGGAGGTTGCCGTGGCGGCATTTCTGGCATGGAGAGATATTGAAGAACGAAGAAGAAATATTCTACCCAATTTGCCGGAACTCATGACCCCCACGCATCTCGCGTTCGAGCCATTCAGATACTGATGGACTTATTGGAAGCATGGAATGAGCAACTCAAGGAAGGAAAGATGACTGATGGTACGAGTTTTGATGTCATCCAGCAAGATACTAATGACAGTACTGAATCGTATGACACTGCACTTTGGGGGTCTGAGACTGATGATACACAATCCACATCAGAAAGCCAACGGAAACTTCCCTTTGCAATTGTGGGTCCTCTACTGCCTTCGGAAGGACAAGTGATCAGTGAGGTTGCAGGAGGAGGCATGGGGATAGTACACATTTCGGGTGCTGCCCATAGTAGCAAGCTGAGCGGAAGCCCTCTATTTGCCCGTACCGTCACCACAGCTGTGCCTCATTGTGAAGCAGTCATGGAGTACTTGGCATCCCTGGGTGTCTCTCGAATTGCCAACGTTTTCTTCATCTCGGTGGCATCCAGCACTTCCATCGAAATCAGTGGGCACCTTCATCGTGCAGCCTCCAAACGCAATATTGACTTTTTGAGACTGGCTATGGAACCAGGTTTACCGTCCGTCATGCAAGCAATGTCCCAACTAAAAGAGTCGGGGATCAAGTATGTGGTGGCGCTCCTGGCTCCTCAAGCGGTAGCTTCGGTGGCGAAAATTGCCCTCCAGCAAGGAGTGATTGGCAACTCGGGCTATGTTTGGGACTTTTTTGGCCGCGCCGAACTCTTAAGCCCCAACTTTGGATTGGATCGGGCATCACAAGCCGATATCGCCCAAGCCTTTCACGGGGTCTCTGTTTCTCTGGGAGCGGTACCACCCAGCCCCAATTTCAATCAAGTCTATCAACAATTCACGTCCTCACCCACAGAACAAGAGCAATTCTTGTCGAGCGTACCACCTGCCGACCGCCAGTATTTCCAAAATTACACGTTTCAACCCACACACTCGGTTCATCCCCTCCATCTCATGTCCTACGATGCTGTCATTGCGGCTGGATTGGCTGCCTGTCATACCCCAGGACAGTTCAATGGCACCCAGCTTCATCGCCAAATCATTTACAATACAACCTTTGAAGGACTGAGTGGTCATATTCATTTTGACCCAGTGACTGGAACTCGTCCCACAGCTCCATTTGCTATCAAGAACTTGGTGTTGAGTGATTCGCGATCGGACAATGCGACTCTGCGGTTCGATGTGCGAACTACCGCCGTCGTGGTGGGAACACAAATCAATGCCATGGATCCGTTCATTTACCACGACAATTCGACAACACCACCTGCGGATAAGCCCCCTCTGGAAGGGTTTGACTACAATCTTCGACCCGTTGGTGTCCAAATATTTGGCCTTCGCTGGCAGGAATGATAATCTCGATATCGATGGGACTGATGGTTTGGACCATTTGGAATCGTCGCAAGTTTGTCATTTCGGCAGCTCAGCCTGTGTTTTTGCTCCAGTTGTGCATTGGCACCATCACCATGGCATGTGCCATCATTCCGGCAACCTTTCAAAGTGAGACTCCCAGTTCTGGCATGGACGCGGCGTGTATGAGCTTTGTGTGGCTATTCGCATTGGGATGGATGACATCCATATCGGCAATCCTTTCCAAGACGTGGCGACTGGGGCAGCTCATGGATGGATCACAGGGAATGCGACGCCTCAAGGTTGAACCAATGGATGTTGCCAAGCCATTCTTTATGCTGCTAGTGTGGAACGTGGCCCTCTTGACAGCCTGGACCATTGTGTCTCCCTTGAAGTACATTCGAACTGTTGTAGAGCATAATGTTGATCAATATGGCCGCCACCTCGAGTCCCACGCAAGGTGCCAACGCACCGACAATTGGGCGCTTTTGTTTGCCAGCCTAATCGCGGCTGCGAGTTTGGTGGGCATTGCCTTTGCTTCCTTTCAGTTGTACAAGGTTCGGAACCTTTCCACGTACTTTTCGGAAACGACTTCCCTCCTGTGGAGCATGGCCAGCCTTGTGGAATCTGGGGTCCTCTTTATCCCATTGCTGATTGCCCTGCATGACAACTCTTCCGCGTACTACATTGGCATCTCGGCGTTGATCACGTTGACCAGTCTTAGCTTCTTGGTGCCAATCTTCTGGAACAAGCTTCAACACCGGAACGCCCAGTACAGCGACGCCAAGGAGGACGAGAGGCGAGTGCAAGAGCAAACGTTCATGGTCATTGCGTTGGAGTCCAATCCCAATGGCTATGATAGCGATGGCGGCTCCTCTACTGCAGGGAGTATGAGACTCAAACGGCACAACAGTTCAGGTCGAATGGGTAGTTCGAAGAGTACCTTTTCGTTCGGCCGAAGCAACAGGAACAAGAGAAAGGGAGGTGGCCTTGGCAGTGCGTTTGGCCCTAGCAGTACTGCAACAAATACCAGCTTGAAGGCTTCGAATCACTAACGCAGAAGATGCGCCTCTACAATTCGATTATCAAGTGAAGATCCCTGCTATGCGTGGGAAGTGCCGCTAGCTACGGTACCGGACAATGACGCAGACAGTGTGAACGATTGGATTTGCCTGGTAGCCGGTTTGCTACGAAAGCCAATTTGCTTGACTGCCGGAATGATTTTATGCCGATGACAGGCTACTTAATCAGTCTTGGGAAACCCTGCAGAGGCTGGGAGATGGCTATTGGTGCGCATGTTGCTGTTCTCCAAATGTTCCTCTCTCCAAATGTTCCTCAAGCTAGTACCGGTACACCGTCACGAGATGGGAAAACTTTCAATGAAAGGAGGGACGGTGAGGGGTCTGCGCGCGATAAGTCGGCCCTTGACGTCTTTTCTTCTGAATTCAGATGAAAGTCGCTTCGGCGGAAAAGAGCAACGAAAGGGCACCCGGGAGCGCTGAAGTTCGGGATGCTATTACGAAAATGGAGGAAAGGTTCAGGACTGACAACCATAAGAGACTGAGTGATCTGAGTGATATATATGACAGCCATCACCCAGATACGAGACGAACGAGCCCGCGCAAGGTTTTACCTAGTGGCAGCCCAGCCTAAAGCGAGCGACAAGGGAGTCAAGACCAGCCAAGACCATACTGCTTGCGTCCTTGGGGGTGGCCTGAATTGCTTTCTGGGGCCCTTAGACAACGGTTCTCGTTGGCAGGTACGGTTCATGTTTTGCTTGGTTGCCTTTCCTGCAAGTCAGAGGTCTTGCCGATGAACTTGGCACAGTAGCTAGTAGCGGCTCTCAACTTTTCCAGATTCCCTAGTTGCTTGATGAGAGCAATGCGGATACTTCTTGCACTTTTCAAATGAAATTGAGCGAGTTGTGCTTTGAATAGCATTCAACGCCGTGGATGAGGTAATCAATGGGTTAAGTTTAGGGTCAATGGGTTAAGTTTAGGGTCACTGTACCGGTACCTAAGCCATGTGGTATCTATCTGATCCTGTTGCCAAAAGAGATCTTTCTCGAGACAGCTTGAGGCCTACTTGACAGCCAATATGTAGGTACGGTCAACCGTGGCCAGTCGGGCTGAGAAACCGTAGGTAGCTGCCGTACAAATCCCAATGCAGAGATCAGTCATGGTTGATACGGTACCTACAATTTCTGAAAGCAAGCAGTATCTCTGCTGTCTTTGCTTGCCTGATGATAGAGCTTCCGGGTTGCTTATTGGGACTGACTGACTCAACGCTAGAAAGGAGTGGAAAGAAAGCAAACAATGATACTAGATTACTCCAAAGACACCACTTACAAGCAACAATAAGAAAGCCCCGCATGATCTCTTCATCAATAGTCAATTGCAAATGTTGGGATTTCTGAAATTGCTTCATCCCAGCTCCGAGGCAAATCCCAGCCCAAGCTACCGGTACTAGTACTTCTAGCTAGCTAGCTAGTACCACATGATTGGTTGTTCGAGTGCTTTTGAGAAAACTTTTACGATCGAGATCCACAAGTGTCTCAAAGCTGGGGCAATACAAGAAGTCTTATGCCAGTAATCAAAACATCAATCTCAATAAATATCAGCAGTACAGGCACAACTCATAAGTCGAATACTCGAAGCAAGGTTTTTAGAAGTCATTCAAGTCACTCATCATCCATAATCAAAACACATTTACAAGCAACGTGGCAAAAGGGCTGTCCAGTAGCTTTCCGAACAGTAATCGGACGTGGTGTACGAGCCCTTAATGGTTTATTGTACCGGTGTGAGAGAAAAGAACTCCTCCAGAAATCGTTGAACTCAATCTTCGCCTTTGCCTCCTCTGGATTTGCTCCTTGCTTGTTCACCCACCCACAATTCTAGAGTTCCTCTCTCATCGTCAATCTAACAGGCTAGCTAGAACAAGAATCAACCCAGCATTGTTTCTTGAAAATGGCGACCTTTGCTACCTTTCACGCCGCACCCCAGTTGGTCCATGACATGAAGTTTCCCTTTCACAAGGAAACAAGCACAGGTTTGTTCGCCCTTATGAACGATTGCAGTGACAGGGATCTGCATCCCAGGCCTCCCTGCCGCAGTTCCTCCATGTGTTCGAGCGATTGTCCAGTCGTCGACGCCAAGCCCAAACCACCAGCTCGTTCTTCGTCCCGGGAGGAGCCGCCGGTGATTCGCCGTCGTCGTTCTTCGAGCGACCTCATGATGCACAACCGTCCACGAGCACCGTTGCGGTTGCGGCGTCGAAACTCGGCCAACAGTCTCATGCTCCTGCCTCGTTCCTGTGCCCCCAAGTCTGACGACAACGACGACAAGAAGAAGACACGACGACCCCGTCGCAGGTCATCCAAAAAGGAAAAGAAGCGTGACAAGAAAACGGCAGCAGACAACAAGAAAAAGCAAGAACGACGAGATGTTGCCCCCGTGATCCCGCAGCTCCGGCGCCACCGGTCCGCAGGTGATCTCCGGGCTCTTATGCAAGATACGTCCACAAAGTCCAAGGTCGGTTGTACTACGGACTCGCTATACTTGTACAACAGCAAGCGGGACCCTTCGCCTAGTAGGCCAACCATGAGACGTCATCGGTCTGCCAATGACTTGAGGTCTCTCATGGACAACAAGATCAACAAGAGGCCGCCCTCGCCCCGGAGGACCCTCCGGAAGGTGGCGGCCATTGAGACATCGACTCCCAAGAGGACCATGGTGGACACGTTGACTCCCAAGAGGACCCGGTCGATACTCAAGACGTCAGACTCAAAGAAAGAGGAGGGAACGGAGGGTAGTGACATGCCCGAGCTGGTCAACTACCAGTCGGACTACACAGCAGAGACTCCCTCCGAGCCAGAGTCGCCGACTGTCCCCAACCATCGCACTCTGTCCTTTACCCTTTCCAGGAGGCGTTCTTCCAAGGAGGAAATCAAGGCGTTGGCAGTGAAGCCACTGGTGCCGAAAGAGAACGAGCCGGTGACCAAGTCCAGACACAGCTTCTCGGGCTTGACCCCTTCGATGCCGCAAGAGAACGAGCCGGTGACCAAGTCCAGGCACAGCTTCTCGGGCTTGGCCAGTTCGAGCTTCATGACGCAGTCCACCAGTGCTTCGTCTGCCATGAGTGCCATGAGTGATTGCAGTGACAGCAGCGCCTCACTTGCTTCCGAGGACATTAGGGGCCTGATGGAGTACTCCAGCAGAAGATCGGAATCCCTCCGGGGCAGCAAGTGTTCTTGGAGCATGAATGAGCCACTTGCTGGAAGACGGTCGGCTCCCATGAATGGTGTGCAGGAAATGCCAGACGAGGATGACGATATCAGAAGTCAAGACAACAATGATGGCATCCAGACCCAGCCCGACGCTCGCCTCGAACTGTCTGTTTCCAAACGAAGCAGTGTCGCAACCACTTCGACCGCTGCCAGCAGCACTGTCTTTGACACGAACATGATTGGCATCACTTGTGTCGGTGCCGTTAGCAGCACCATCCAAAGTGGCAGAATGCCTCCGGCTGTTGCCGGTGAGAAGCCTTGGGCCTGCGGTATTTGTGCCGAAGAGAATGATCCAGACTACTTCTTCTGCGGCATGTGTGCCGATCCAAAGTTGTGGACCTGCACTGTTTGTCAGTTTGGTCGCAACAAGAGTCGCTTGCCCCATTGTGGGGGCTGCGGAACCCGCCGTCAACGTGAAATGCCATCTTATTGAAAGTGAGAGAGACAACGCCCATACACCAGCTAATGACAACAATGACACTACTTGATGTAAAGTGTATGGACGTAAATGTATTTTCATAGCAAACCTTACTATACTAATGAAGCTTACATATTCTATATATAATATATCACTATTTATGAACATTCTATTGTTTGATTCGCAACCAGCGCAGGAAACGCTGCATTGGCCGCTGCGAAAAGTTCCGGATTGCCTCCTGGTAGAGGTCTTCTTGGACATGCTTCATCGAGGCATCCCAACTCCACTTTTGTGTTTCCTGCCGGCCAACTTCCGACAGCCTCTTGCGGCACTCTGGATTGTACTGCAGCTCCTTGACACAAGCAGCAAACTCTGCAATATTGCCAGTCTGTGCAAACAGCCCTGTTTGATTGTGCTGGATAATGTCCAGTAAACCACCGGCTTTGGCCGCCACACACGGCACTCCCGATGCCATGCTTTCCAGGACGACAAATCCCAGAGTTTCGGAATCACTGGGCATGACAAAGACATCCCCTGACGCAAACGCTTGACTGAGTTCCTCTCCATCCAAGCGACCTAGGAATGTTGTGGGAGTACCCTCAAAGTGTGCTCGGAGCTGTTGCTCGGTGGGACCCGACCCTACAATGCACAACCGATACGGAGCCTTGTCGGGATGATCTGCCAAATCGTCACCATTGAGTTTGGAGAGCAATGTTTTCAACTCCTCCAACCTCTTTTCTCGTGCCAATCGACCAATATAGACCAGGAGAAAACAATCCTCACGTCCTCCTGCTATCATGCGCTTTCTCATGGCCGCACTCTTGAATCTGGGATGAAACCGTTCGGTATCAATTCCCTTGGGCCAGACACGGCAACGGTCAATGTTGTGATCTCTAAATTCTTGTGCAATTTGTGGACTTGTCAGTAGCGTCATATCGGCAAAGGAGTGTCCAAAGCGAATAATGGCCCAGGCACACCACTCGGCCAAGCGTGGAATCATGGGAAAGTAGGATCTCATGTACACTGGTAAATGTGTGTGATAACTAATCACCAAGGGAACCTGATAGAGCACTCTGGCGACTAGAACGGGGAATATCAAAAACCCGGGAGTGGTGACATGCATCAGATCAAACTGACTGTCTTTTCCTCTGCCAAACGGAAAAAGCAAGCGAAGGACTTTGGCGGTCCAATCGGCACAGACCGTCAACCCGGCATAATTGGGAAGGACCACCCCTTGGCTGTAGTGCACCGGTATGGTAGGTGACGTTGTGGCGGCCTGCTTGCCTTCGTCTTTGGGTTGGAAACACTTGGGTGGATTGGGGTGGGCCTTTTCGGCCGTCACCAAGTGCAAGTATGGATAAGTGGTACCAGTAGTGTCGGCAGCTGTTGTTGCGTCCGTTATTGGGACTCTGTACTCATCAGAGTTTGCCAAATGCTGCACCAATGCATGAAAGCGTCCGGCTTGACCACTCAGATATGTCAGGGGACTCGGCTCCCAAAGAATGCAAATTCGAAGCGGTCGTTTGCCAGTTGTGGTACTACTGGTGGAAGTACCGGTAGTAGTAACAGTATAGTTTTGGTGTGGCAGCGTTGCCGATGATGCGCGTACACTAAAGAGTCCTGGAGGACGAGCTTGGCCCAGATCGACCACCGATAGCAAGAGAATGATGGCCAGGGACAACATGGTGGGTGGAACAAGCAGCAGAGAGAGGTGTTGTGAAACTTGTGTGATGTGGTCCTCTCAACCTCTCTTGTACTAGTAGTCTAAGGTTGCCGTGGGCATCATTGGATCATTTTGGCCATCATGGAAATGGGCTCCACCACCTGTATACACGTTGGAATTATCGCTTGCGTGACAAGGGAAAGCCCCGGCAACATCGTTGCCGTAAAGCCGTAAAGTGGCCGTGCAGCGTAGCCCTCTTCCTCTAACTATTACATGTAATAGCGGTACAGGTACCAGGTACTGTACGCTGTATAAATCTACATAATAGCCGGCTGGGTTGACTGTGCTGTACAGTACTCAGTACACAGCCAGTTCGGAAAACGTCATTTGTTTATCTATTCAAACATGCGATGGTTCCCTTGAGCCCTAAATAGATTTATCTCTCAAACACGCGCGACCACAAGCCATTCTTAATTCATAGAACTTCCACGCTGGTAGAAACTTTCCACGCTGATACCAGGAAAGCGTTGCTTTTTTGCCACATTCATTAACTTAGGAATTACGAAGTCCCCCGAGGGATTTTAAGTTCTATAATTAGATTTGAAAACGGTATGTGATGGCCTCTTGCTAGGGCCATCCTGTAACCGTTTGCGGGTATAAAGAGGTATTGTGTAAGCATGAATCGTCTTGACATGTAGATTGTTTTGTGGGTTTACTGGGGACGATATTGTCCCCGTTGTTTTTTGTTGTTTCTGTTGTTGTGTGGTCATGGGGCCGGTGGGCCACGGATTATCCAGCGTTCCATCAGGTTGCGTTTGTAACTCTGGTCGTTCCGTGGTTGTACTTGATCAGCTGCAGCTGCAGCTCGGGCTCCTTCCACACTGGCTAACCATTGTTGTTTTTCTGTTGTGGTGAGCTCCAGTTGGGAGTCTAGGCCATGTTGAAATAAGTGTCTGTCTTCCGGTTGAAGACTGGCGGCGCCGAGGGACCACTGGGACCTTATTTCTTCGTTGAGGGTGTTGCGGAGGGCGGGGTCAAATTCTGGGGTTGCAGTGCTCCCACATATCCCAAGCGACATTGAGAAGCTTCCGGACAACTGCGGTGGTCCACCTGAACCCATTGCGGCGGCTTTTCATTGATTTGTAGTGGGTGTCCTGTAGCTGGGTGAATTTGTGGCTTATGCGCCCCATCATGAAGCTGTACCATCCTATTTCGGTTTGCTCCGCTAGGGCTGCTCTGATGTCGCTTCTGAGAGGACCCAGTGGAGGTTGCTTCCTACTTCCCCATGCTTTGAGGTGCTCCATGATGGTGTATCGTAGGGATTGGTTGGTGCCCAGTTTCTGAAGATGCTTGTTCAGAGACTTTAGAGCATCCTGCCATGTGAGTCGTGCTCCTTTGCTGGGACAGAGGAGAACATGAGTTGGTGCATTCATGTTGAGAAGCTACATGTACATCATATCATTTCCAAACAAAAGGAACAAGTTGTTTGCAACTGGTATGCATAAGTGTGGAAGGCGGGGGAAATTCTTTAATTTCGACGCGGTGAAGCAGAGGCAAGGGAGAATGCTTCGTCGAGAAGCCAATGCCTTACCATACTTGCTTGTTACTAGTACGGCTAGGAAAGACGCAGCAAACAATGCACGGCTTCACACAGTGGGTGTTTCTATCTAAGTAGAGTTATTGGGTCACATCAACGTCGCAGCACTAGTAGCTCGTTTCCTTGACGTCCAGGCTAGCTGCCACGCACACTCTTGCAAGGTTTTGAAAAGGTACAAACTAGATCATCTGTCATCCTTCCGCTCTAGGGCGCCTCCATCATCTTGATCATTTTCGCCACCTTCTTGTATCTCGCGTACTCTTTTTGTTTTGGTTTAATGTCCGAAGGCGTGGACACTTGCCGCCCATGAGTCTTGACGAAATCCTTCTCAAACACTCGCAGCGAGGAACGCAACAAGCACAACTCTGCTTTGAGTTGCGAAAGGTCGTCCAGTTCGGCCAAAATGTCATACCGACGCCGCTGCGGAACATTCGTTCCAGGAACGTACGAGGACCCGCTACTGACGACGACCACCCAACTTCCATCCAAGCCGCCACATTTGTCCAATGCTGCAATTCGTTTCTTTGTCGCATGGTAGTACTCGTAGTAAGGTCGTATCCGTTCCTTTTCAGGTTTTCGGGGCTTTCGACGGTGCTGTTCGTAGAACCACCTATCGTATTCTATGAGCAACGACTTTATCTCTTCCTTCTTGGAAATTAGCTTGGCAAGGCTCATGGATTCAACATCAGGCCGGGGAACCTCCATCACAAAGGGGGTACGACGAGGGAAAACAGAGTCGACTGGGGCCTCCATTGTTCGTGTCGTCATCGTGGGTGGTGTGGTCAACAGTGGAATCTCTGACACCATGAGAATGCATCAATATCTGACTAGTCAACACTGGCGAAAGAATGACAGGATGAGAAGCGAAGCGCTTTAGTAGTTCCTTTTGAAGCGCATTTTGCACAGTTTTGAAATCCATTTGATTGGAATTGGATTCGATTTAGAATTCAAGACAGGCGAAACTGAAACGACTCGGCTCAAGTGCATGCGTTGCTTCATTCATTGGCTTCCCTCCTTTTCTTTCCCGCTTGAAACGGAGACAGAAACCACATCTTTCGCACTCTTTTGTGCAAAGCCCAACTCGCCTTTCCCTGTAAAATCTCTGCACTCCCTATATCGTACCGGCTGCGTGGGAAGCTTGGCCGCCAATCGTACATTTCATCATACCGGAAACAGAACTACAGTACTTGTAGCTAGCTATAGGGAGTCTAGAGTAGGGAAGTTATCTGTGGAAGCTTGGTTGAATCGAAGCATTCTACTTGTATTCGCAGTGTTACTTATCTTCTGAGACCCATTCGGCGACAATTTCGAATCCGCGATCGTCGCTTTCAACCGTATCAATCCCCTGAGATTCACCCTCATCCATTGAGACCGACGTCCTTAGAGCACTGCCGATAGGAACCTGTGTTGAGGATTGCTCGACTGAAGAGCTTTTGGGAGGCTGTGGTGGAGGTACTTCAAGAAAGGTTGACTTGCGCGACCGGTGTTGTGGAGGAGGGACAATAGTACCACTCGGTTGGATTGGGCTATCAACCGCAGGCAGTGGCATCAAGATGTCCTCAGCTTCACCTTCGCCAGCCGATGTTGCATCATCATTCCCATTGATCTGGTCACTCCAAATTGTGGGTATCGGCACAATCGACAAAAGAGTCAATTGCTCGCATTGCTCGTCAACCTTGATGTCACCGTCACTTTGTTGCCTGGGCAACTTTCGTGCACTCGAAGAAGAAGTCGGAATCGACTGAGACGATCGAAAGGGGTCCTCTTCGTCGTTCTTTTCGGATAGCGGGATCTCAATCTTCAACCCCTGCTCTCGTCGGCACGGAGACAGCGCTAAAGTCTCGTTGGTATGCTCGACCTCCGCCGCGGAAGCCAATAAGTCGGGGAACACGAGGTCGCTGGGGGAGAATTGGTTCCAAGATTGCTGCGCAAAAGCCGCCTCTTCAGTAAATTCCTCTGTGACCTCCACGCCCAGCTCGACGACACTCTGGCGACGAACCTCTTTTGATATGGAAGCAGTTGCAGGTTGCAGCAGGTCGAGCGTCTTCGCCGTTTCTACATTTGCAGATTGTTTGTCTACAGCCTTGTCTATGCTGGCGCTTTCTTCCTCCGTGACCTCCACACCAGGCTCCACGACACTTTGTCGGCGAGCTCTTGTTGGCCGGGCAACAACCACGTGTTGTCTTGGACTCAGACTCGCATTCTTCCACGATGTTACGGCATTGGCAGATTCTTTGTCACCACAGATGCTTTCCTCTTCGGATGAGGAACTGTTTTCGTCGTCTTGGTCAAACTCGTCAAAGTCATGCACTGACCGAAAAGCCGGAAGAAACATTTTGGACATTGTCGCTTCTTCTCGTATCTCTACCCCAAGCTCGCGAAGGCTTTCCTGGGGGGTTGGTTTGAACACGTTCTTTACGTATTGTGCCTCTTCGTCAAACAGTTCAGCGACCTCAAAGCCGGCATCCAGGAAAGCACTCGATTCACGTCCTATCTGGTTTAGCGGAGAACACGCGGGTGACTTAGTTTGTTCTGGGCCTTCTATGTTTGCTTCGGGCATAGCTAAGATGCTTTCGATTGTCTCCTTCTGCTGCATAGAGTAGTTACGGCATTCCTTCATCGCTCCCAAAGGTCGCGGGATCATCTTCCCAACGATGAACTGCCCAATGGCCGCGCCTTTGATCTTTTCTTTACCAGGTAAATTGTCCTGCATTCGTGTGCCTTGGTACTTGGCAGTTGAGGTGGGATTTGGATAGTCGCGGTGAGGCGTCCAAAGGATGGAGGGGACAGCAATAGAGTATTTTCCAAAGACACTCTGACGAAAAACCTTAAGCCTTGTAATCTCTTCTAGATGACATCTAACCTGATGGATCCGATGCCTGAAGAGATTCCGTAGTTTCTGTTCGTCGTTGGTTCTCTTCTGAATATACAATACATGGATCAGATGATTCTGCGGACCGAATAGTACTATGACCAGGATTCGACCTGTCCATTTGAGAAGAAAGGCCCAAGGCAGGAATAGTATAGTTGATCCAGTGACAAAAAGCGCTACAGTGAGAAGGAATGATAAGTCACTCTCTTCCCATGTGATGATGGTATCTGCAAATCTTAGCAAGCGACATATATCTGATTGGATTTAGTGAGAGCAGAGCCCACCGGAGGCGACAGCAGACCATATCTTCAACCACTTACTCCCGATAATCCCTTGTACTTTTCCGAGCACCACAAGGAGCTCCAGCTGAATCAGATCGGTTGATTTGGTATCAATGTGAGCCGAGTGCTCCAGTTTTTCCAATTCTTTCTCAACTGCTTCCTTCTTTTGAAAGAACTCTCGTTCGCTTTCAACCCGTGCTCTGAAAGCTGATTCTTGTGCTTGTGTTTCTTCCCATCCCTGGTTTGCTTCTATGCGTTCGAAACGAATGGGTTGTTGATTTAAAAGAATCCTCACGTAGTGCCCAAAGGAATTGCATCTTTTCCAAGGCGATGGATTTCGGTTACGGTGCTCCATTTGGGCGAATAGAAACAGGCTGGCTGCGAAGCATAGAATACCAAGAATGTACTGTGGATGCTCCACCACCAGTAAGCCCATGACAAATGTGAGAAGCGAGTACAACGGAAAGACGACGACACCACCCGGGATCGACAGATGTAGCTGATTGTGGGCTTGCCAAAAGATCAGAGAGTGACTTCCATCTCGAAGAGCGTAAATCAGTCGACTCAAGTAGCCCTGGATGATCTCATCAATGTACCCCTGCAGCACACCCAGCTGGAACTTTTCTTCATCGTTGTATTCACCCCTGGCTGTGAATTGCGCCACGGCCCAACTTTTCTTGGTGTTGACATTGATGTGTATCCTGGGCTTGAGTGGATTGAGTGCCGACTTGAAGCTTGCCAAAAAGGCTGCTCGTTCGTCATCCATTTCGATTCGAAGTCGGATCCGAACTGTTCCTTGGGCTCTGCGATGTGCCTTGTGAGAGTCCTTGTAGAGGTTGTATTCTAGTTCGTACAGAGTGTCCCGCTGAAAATGCAGAGGATGAATCTCGATTCTACCAATGGGTCGGTGTCTCCGTATTGGCTTGCGCTTGTAGCCAAAGACTCCAATATACAACAATTGCCCGTACGGATTGGGCCATCCCTCGGACATGTTCAAGACAAAGGCTCGTTGTGTCCAAGGCATCCAATGCGGTGATAGTTCATCATCAATCAAATCTGTTTGGACCATGGTATCTCCGTACACCAAGGAACAAAAGGCATCCGTCTTGTTCCCTAGAGTCTCTCCACGATCGACATTCGGCAAATCATGACAGGACAGTATTTCTACATATAATCGCCCCAGCGATCCTTCCCTGGATCCCCCCTGAACCCACTGCCGAGATGGTTTGTGAGTTTCTAGTTTCAGTTCTTTGGGAGTCAGGTACATTTGGGAGGCAGAGGAGGGCGACAACGACGCACGGATAGAAGAGGAGGGTGACGCCGGTGGTTTCTTTTGTTGATGCCTTGCCCATAGAGGATCCGGACAGGGCTTGACACAGACCCTGCCATCCGGCCGTGTCATGGCCCCGGCAACTGCTGTGGAGAGAAAGGCTCCCTGGATATGGTCCTCGGGGAGCTCAGTCACCAGAACGGCCTTTTGGCTCGTCGTCTCTTCCATGACTTTTGCCTGGGTCCATAGATTGTCGTTGACGACTCGTTGTGTATTGACAAATGTTGTTCGTGGCGTGGTCGTTGTGGGTCCGTTCCAAAATCGTGTAAGTTCTAGATCGGCCGGAGAAGCGATCCGACAGCGAAATGCGAGTAATGACTTGTCATCTCCGTCAACCACAACTGCTCGGTCAAAATCATCCACCAATGGTAGCTCGACTCGTTGCTCATGACATTGACCCAGTAGATCCTGAACGGGTATTCGAATTTTTCCAATAAATGTAGGTAGTTGTTGCTGTATCGATCGCTTGCTGGTCGGCGTCGTGTTGTTGCTGCCTTGCAAGGGTCTTGCCCACAGGTTCATGACCAAAGCTCTGTGATTGGCCATGTCGCGTGGCGTGACATCAATACTGAACAGAGCATCGTGCTGAATGGTCCATATAGGATTCAACAGAGTAGTGGCTTTTTCTTGCCTGCCGTCGTCCTTGTCACTGTAATACCGATCCACCACCATTTGTTTGAGTGCTTGACCAAAGCGTTTGGCCCTGGAGCCGGTTTGATCGGCTGTATTCCCACGGTAGGGAAGTGTGCGATGGACCGTCCGGGTTCCGTATTGCACCACACAGTATGTTTCCATGAAACTGCTGTCCATATCTCCAATATGGAGGTTCCTCGCTCCAATCACTTCGACCAGAATAGAAAAGGGAGGGACATTCGGAAAGTCCACATCATCTGCTCGGTTGGACAAGAAAGAGAGGCGATCCAGGACGCTGGTGCTGCTACCGCCGCTGCGGCGCGGGATATCAATCATTAGATCGTTGTCATTGTCCTCTTTCTTCTCCTCTCCAGTGCTGTGGAGTGAAGCAAGCAACGGAGTTGCTTCGGTGAAGGACGCCATTTGCCAAGGAGAGAGGTGCCAAAATGCAAAAATGAGAGAAAAATGAGGGAGAGGTTTCCTAGAAGAAAACCGTTAATCCGGGACCCAGAGCAAATTGTTGCATTCGGTTAACGTTCTGCATTTCCACAAAAGGTGACCCTACTATTAAAATAGCCTGTCGCGGGAACAGCGTACCGGTACGTGTCCCATCGTACCGGTACATCATGGAGTTGAGGTAGATGTGGTATATATAATTATTATTGCAAAAAAATATTTAGAGTAATACATACGGTAGCCATAACCCCATGTTTACCTCAGTTACCCATCTACTGCACGCGGTTTGCGACTTGGAGGCAACTAACTCTCGGAGCATGATCGCGGCACATGGTACATGGTACGACTGTACCGAACCGGATTACAATTTCCAGGTTTATCCCTGCATGATTGTATGTACCAGGTAGTCTATCAAGAAGAAGATGGAGAGTAGCAACGGCAAAGACTGCAATCAAGGAGCAGGGGAGAGAAATACTGCAGATCCTGGAACTCAAGAAGAAAATACTGTTGGACCCGAGCTGCCGGCTACAAGAGAAGGATCTGCAGAAGCTCATTCCCCTGACGAACTACCACTAGATGCGGATTGCATCCAACTCGCAAGTGGCTCAGAAGAAAGTAGAAAACAAACGAGAGATCAGGAGACTGAAGGCAATCCTTCTGGAACTCGAGAAGCAGGAGAAGGTACCGAACAAGTTCATGCCGCAGCTAGTGGCACGGCTAGAATCTCGCATTCGGCTCCAGCATCACCATCAGAAGCCGCCACGCTCATGCATACAACTTTGTTGGCCGATTGTGATGAGAAGTCAAGGAAACAGAAGTATGAGTATCGAAAAGCAGACGGCAGTCCTTCTGGAACTCGAGAAGAAGGAGAAGATACCGGACAAGTTCATGCTGCAGCTAGTGGCGCGGCTAGAATCTCGCATTCGGCCCCAGCATCACCATCAGAAGCTGTCACACTAATGCATACAACTTTATTGGCTGATTGTGATGAGAAGTCAAGGAAACAGAATTTTGAGTATCGAAATACAGATGGCAGTCCTTCTGGAACTCGAGAAGCAGGAGACGATACCGGACAAGTTTATGCTGCAGCTAGTGGCGAGGCTAGAATCTCGCATTCGGCTCCGGCATCACCATCAGAAGCCGTCACACTCATCCATACAACTTTATTGGCCGATTGTGATGAGAAGTCAAGGAAACAGAATTATGAGTATCGAAAGACACAAGGCAATCCTAATGGCCATCTTGATTTCTTTGCTGGTGGGAAAGAGAAGGAATGCCCCCGATCTCGAGACAATTCTCCACGAAAAGGCGGAGCAGCAGCAGCAGCCGCCAATAATGGGTCAGAACAGGGAGTCCAAGAGGAAGACCAGCAAGAAAGCCGAATTATACAGGAATGGGATATTGAGAGCAGGCCATCACACGCACACGTACCGGAACCGACAGAGTCTCCTGGGCTGCAAAGAGGTAGCGCTGTACAGAGAGAGTCGAATCCAGGGGCGTATGCAGCTGCCGGGCCAGATTTCACAGAAAGTAACCGATGCGGGTCCATTACATGGAGCAATCATTACCCGAATGCAATTTCCAGTGGTTCTCTTGCTCCCGTTTATGATGGTCAGGGTGGAGGGCTCGTGGAAGCACGCCCAGTTAACAGTGTTCGTCCACCGCGACAAGAGGCACTGCCAGTTAAGGTTTCCCCTCACGAACAACAAGGAAACCATCAAGCAAAGAATCTATGGCTTGGATGCGCTTGCTGCCTAGCAATCCCTGCATGCATCATTGTTGGGATCGTCCTTGGAGTGATCCTCAGAGGAAATAAGACCAAAATTGTGACAGGCGAATTGACCGGGATGCCTATTGTCTACCGTTCCACGGAACCATCGGGTGCACCCTCTTTAGCACCATCTGGGTCTCTTGATTTGCTGTTGACCAATCTCCCAAACTACACTATGGAAAACCTTCGTACCTTTGGGACGCCCCAGTGGAAAGCCCAGCAATGGCTGTCAAGGCACCGAAACATCACCTACTTACCAGAATGGAGGAAAACACACTATTTTCTCTGGCTACCTTTTTCTATGCCTTTGAGGGAGAGCATTGGTATGAACCCATCCGAGCAGAGTGGTTGGATGACTCAAGGGAAGAGTGCTTATGGTTTTCCAGTGGATTTGGTGCTTACTGGGAAGGAGAATTTTTTCGCTGGTCTGACGAGTATTTTGTACCGTCTTGCAATGAGCAGGGGGAAGTCACGAACCTTCACCTTGAGGATCTGCAGCTTGCTGGCCTTGCACCATTTGTCCCACCTGAGATCACACTTCTTACTTCATTGTCAGACCTTGCTTTGGGCTGGAACAAGATCAGCGGATCAGTTTCAGCTTTGATCCCAACTGAATTATTTGAAATGACGACATTGAAATGGCTGGACTTTGAAGAAAATCTCTTGACAGGCAAAGTTCCAACAGAGATTGCACAATTGGATCTTCTGGAAACTCTGAAGTTGCGTGCAAACCTATTCTCTGGTGAAATTCCAACAGAGCTCGGACTCTTGACTTCTCTGACTTTGCTGTATTTGTTTGAGAATCAGCTATCCGGCGAAATGCCAACAGTGATGGGACTCTTGACCAATCTGGCAGATTTGGAACTGCATACCAATCGGTTGTCAGGTCAAATTCCCACGGAGCTTGGGCAGTTGACCTCATTGACCGAAGAGTTGCGGCTTACCGAGAATTATTTCACCGGCCAACTACCTTCAGAGTTGGGACTGTTGACCTCTTTGAGTATCCTTTCGGTGTTTTCCAATGATTTGACTGGCCAAATTCCTGCAGAGCTCTCCAATATGACAACGTTGTTCTTTCTTGATTTATCTCTAAACAGTTTTACTGGCCAAGTCCCTTCAGAGTTGGGGTTGTCGACTTCTCTGGAAGAGATCTATTTGGAATTCAACCAGTTGACAGGAGAACTTCCTGAAGAGATCTTGTTACTGACAAATTTGGTGTGGCTTTCCCTATCGAGTAATTCCTTCAGTGGGACTCTGTCAAATGATATTGGACTTCTCGCCTCCTTAGGAGCGATGGACCTTGCTGGAAACAATCTGAATGGTACAATTCCCAGCTCTCTTGGTTCCTTGACTGCTTTGTGGAGGTGTCATCTCCAGAACAACAGCCTGACAGGAACACTGCCACAAGAGCTGACTGGTTCCATGGGGTTGAGACTGGAAGGGAATCAGTTCTCTGGAACTGTTCCTGATCACCTCTGTTCCTTTTTGTGGTGTGACTGTTCTGCCAATGTGACACTAGTATCCTCATGTGCTGACCTGCAAAATAGTTTGGACTTCCCTGGGAGATTTCCCCATGATGATGATTTGAAAACAGTTGTGCTCAACATCCGAACAGATTGGTATCAAAACCATACAGAGTGGGTCTGGCAGCAAAAAACAAACACGAGTGATGCATGGGTCACTCTGGAGCAATCCAGCGGCCCACTAGAACTCCCAGTTTCACTGTACTCTTATATCCTTCCCATCACTCCTGGCACAGCTTTCAAATTAATAGTTTCAGACAGCTGGGGTGATGGTTTCTCCTTTGGTGATGGATGGATCAGTCTGACAGGATCCAATCAAACAGTGTTGTATTCATTTGAAGACAATGAGGTTGCCTTCACTGAAGTCATTGTTGACATTCTGTTTGGAGCTGATGGTTCCGTTGAGGCCATCCAGTCTCTCGTGTACTGTGATCCGCTGTACGCATTTTGCTGAGCTTCTGACTAACTAGCTCCTCCTGGTTGCTAGCAAACTAATGGTAGTAGATGCTTGTTTCAACTTTGAATGGCTCCGTAGTGTGGTTGGTGTTCTGGGGGTTGATGGATGGTTGGCTGCACCCGTTCATGCACTTCAGCTATTCCGCTTGTTCGCCTCACTCACACCTTCCGCAGCTCTGCGAGCTTAAGCGCGAAGCAGAGCCATCCCACTCTGTCTAATCCATACGGTATTAGTATATAGGGGGGGTTTAGAGTAGGGAAATTATCTACGGAAGCCAGCCGGGGCCAGGCTTAAGCAAAGAACAGTCGAAATTCAGGACTAGGTTCTGTG